ATAACATTTTAATCAACAGCATATCGCTTAATTTCCGACCGGAAAAACGACCATGTTTTTATCCCTTTTTTTTCTCACTTGCATATTAAAAACACTGACCACTTGTTCAAACACTGAACACTGGCACATGATTTGTCGAAATGGTTGTTTTAGTGCTAAAGTTTGAGGATTCAACGAGTATTAACCATTATTTAATTTTGAACGACACTTTCAAACCATCCTACTTTGTTTCGTTTGCGAACATAACTTGAACTATGACCTCTTGTTATGTGCACGCCCCTCAACAAGCTGATAGAGCAAGACTGTGTTTCGTTTGAATCCAGGGCTGCTACCTCATTTCAACAATATGATTATCGAGACAATTACGTGATACAGGCAATGCTAAGACAGCAGGAACATATTGATGCCACGGCCATGTATTTAAAATGCGAGTGTGCAGGCGGGCGATATTTCTGGGTTTGCGCGTTCGTAAAATAAAGCGGAAATTATTCAACATACAGGTCCTTTGTAAAACATACGATCGGCCAAGATCTATATCATTCTGAAGCATGCCAGAGACAGACAAAATGCAGTTTTAAATATTGACACCGTTCGTATTTTTTAAATAAATGGGTCAAAAAATAAATAAATTGTATGCTGCTTAAGCGATGATCGATTAAAACAGACTCGTTTTGCAAGTTTTAACGACTACGTTCTGCTGAAGATATAAGACTTCACTTTCGGAGTTATTACCGAAGATAATGTACGACAGCAAAAAACAACAACATTTGGTTATGTGAAATAGAGTGGCATTCATGTAAGTCCAATCAGTACTGTTGTATCGTCTATTTCGTCAACCGAACGTTACTATCCGGACCTGCTCGTCGATTATTATTGCAAATGTCATTTCTTTCCAGAATCAATTGGGTATAAGTACGTTATTTTAGAATGATTTTCATTCTAATCTGATTTATCTGATTTATCATATAGCATTACAAACAGAAAGTTTTGGGCATGGGTCAGAGTACTAGTACGTACAGACCACTCGTTTTGATGAATGGTCTGGGTGTGGCTTGTGGTTAAGAATAGAAAATGAATTTCGGTGAGGTTGTGATTATTTGGATTTTTGAGAACAGATAATTACTATTGAAATGAAATTCTCACGTCTAGGGGTGAATTGTTAATAGGTGAAGTGATGTTAAAAACATAAGTAGTTCATCTCCTTGCGTACACCGCAACAACAAAAGTTTATTTTTAAACACAGACTTCCAGTCAAGAGGGTGGCGTTTGGACGTAACCATACCATTGGATACATGAATGTGTAGTTCCCGGGCGTGTAGTAGACGAGCATAATCGTACTGTCACATGTTTTTCGTCTTAGCCTTGTCTTTTCGTCTTAACCGTCGCAGTCCGCTTCATTGAATGTTTAATTTTATAATTTATATACATATATTCAGTATGAGATTGTTGTTTTCAAGTTGTGTTAATACAAAGATGATTTAAACTTGTCCTTTCCGTTGCCAACGTATTCAATATACGGAAATATCATGCGTGTGTGCATTTGCGTGAGTGAAAGATGCAGGTGAGATTTCTCGGCGCAACGTGTTCTATTTATTTCCAACGCGCATGGTCGGCGCCTTTGATTGCGTTTATTTTGTTCTTTCATACTCGAAATCTATCGCTGGCACTGTTTATTTTGTCATGTCTCACAACCGAACGTCCAATCTGACTTTGTTTGGCTGTACCACCACGATTGTGTTGAATTGGCGAGTTATCAACGAAGACGATCGGACGTCTCCGGTCATGAGCTGGCTGGTTTGAATTTATCCACTTTTACAGTAATGAATATTGCGTTCGAGTTGAGTTACTAGTGATTACAAGCCTGATTTACATTTTTCTTGTGGTGTTTTTCGTCAATGTATTAAATATAAGTGCGTTGGGAAACATCATAATTATATTGCGTGAGTGAAAGACGCTGGTAAGACTGTGTAACAACGCGTTCTATTTATTTCCAACGCGCGTGGTCGGCGCCTCTGATTGCGTTTATTTTGTATTTTTATTTTCGAAATGTACCATTGCCTGCGTTTTTTTTTTGTTATGTCTCGAACTTGAACGTCCAAGCTGACCTTGTTTTGGCTGTATTTTTGAAAAGCTTATTGTATGAATTTTAAAATTTTGTAAGTAGTTTTTTTATGGACACTGTAGTTTGAAATATGCACAAAACTGTGCATTTTTGGTCAAAAGTGATTTAAAAAAAATTAGCTTCTAAACCATGCTTCTATTTCCTGTCAAAATTGGTTTACGGGTACATCTGTTTACTATGAAGAAAGTGCCGTCTTGAAAATTGTCTGTTTTTAGGCGGCGAGTGTCGTGAACTCTCGCGAAATGCGTAATTTCATTGATGAGAGTCGCCTACGGTATTCCATGGGTATTCTAAATGGCCGTTGCTGATCACGAGTTCCTGTGTGTAGATGATTTGCTCGATGTTTTTTTTGTTTTTTTGATTTTGATGACGGTGGAAATGATAGTGAAGAAGATCCAAACGCAGTAGACACAGCAATTCATGTTAACAACTCTGTGTGTGTGATTCAGAGCCCGGGCATCAACATCGAAAATAGCGAAGATTTGCGTTTTCTTGAAACGCTAGCAAAAAACCGAAAATAGTGAAAATAAAATAATAAAGACAATCGTGCTTCATTTATTCACAAGTATTCGAGTTATTTTGTTGAAATTATTAATAAAAACAGGGTATAACGTAGGTAGACGTGTATTCAGACTGAAAGACTGGACAAGTAGTCAAGATGGCGACAGATGTGAAAACGAAAAACAGAATGAAAATCTATTAAAAAAATGCAAGACAGACAACAACAAAAAACAAGTGTAGTCAGTGAAAATAACAAAATTTGACGATTCATGCATCATGAAAACAATAATATTCGTGTATTTTGTCGAATACGGT